AGGGGCACAAGTAAAGCTAAAAAAAAAAAAAGGACAGGTGCGCGCGCACACACACACACACCCCAGCTGTTTGACATGTAAAGTAAGGCAAATCACCCAGCTTCTTCCCGCCAACAGGGCTGTGGAGTAACAGTTAAGTAGATCACCCCAGCAAATGAATATGAAATGTTTACAAGCTGGTCCACCTTCCTGCCCAGGAGGTAAGCACTTAGTGACTAAGTGAATATATATACTTTTTCCTCTGCTTACTAAAAGCTCGGTTTCCTTGAAGAGCAGCTATACTTCCCGGTTTATCTGCAACTGGGATTGGAGTTACAGGCATCCCCCCAACTTTTCTTTAAAGTCTCCCATCTAGGTGACACAGACACATACTGTGTTATTTTCTACTAGGTAAACCTTTGCTCACATTTATTTTGTATTTATTTTTCTCATCCTCCTTTTTCTTCATCATAGAGGGTACAGAGTAAGATGACCAAAAATATATATAAAGAGAAAACAAAACCAAGATCATCTGTATTTCTACCACCCCAGACACAATATACAAGAATTCCATTTTTCATGTATGTTTTGCTATTCTTTCACTCCCTGTAGTATTCCAACCATGTATATGTGTATCTGTATGCATGCCACACATGTGTGCATGTATTTATATAGTGGGACGATGTTATGCATGAGTTTTTTTTGTGTGTTGTGTTTTCTTTTTTTTTTTTGCGGTACGCGGACCTCTCACTGTTGTGGCCTCTCCTGTTGCGGAGCACAGGCTCCGGACGCACAGGCTCAGCGGCCATGGCTCACGGACCCAGCTGCTCCGTGGCATGTGGGATCTTCCCGGACCGGGGCATGAACCCGTGTCCCCTGCATTGGCAGGCGGACTCTCAACCACTGCGCCACCAGGGAAGCCCTACGCATGAGTTTTTGAACTGTGTTGTCACTCACCTTATATCATAAAATATCACTTGTCCATGTTATGACATACTTTTTACAACCAACTAAGAATATGGTTTACTATAAGAGGACATTCCATTATTTAGACTTATTGTTTAAGTGTTATTTGAATTTTTATGATTGTAAGCAATATTTTGCAAAAACTTTTTTCTGTAATTAGGATTATCCTTTTAAGACAGACTCCCTAAAGCAGTCATAGGGTAAATGTCTTGGTCATAATACTATGAACTCTCTTTCTAAAAGGTTATAGCAATTTTTTAGTGCAAGCATCAGCATATAAGAGTGCCCATAATACTTTTACTATCTTTTAAAATATAGTGCGCCCACTGTCACTAAGCATGCTGCAGAAGCAAAATTGATTTGATGTGACGAAGCAAACCTTACATGAAATTTTGCTAAAAATCTTGTCTGGAAAATAAATCTAATTACTGTAATTAACAGTGAAAGCCAAAAGAAGCATACTGAACCACTATATTATTAACATTAGGAAGGTACTCCGTTTGTCAAAGTATTTTATAATCAAGTACTAGTTAATCCTCACAGTGTGCTTTGGAAACAATGAAGCTATTTATAGCTGGACTTTCTGAGCTGAATGTCTTTCAAAGGTCCTTTTGTCTTGATATCTCAAATCATTGTCACCAGCATATCAATTCACAGAATAATTCTCATCTGTAGAATTTCAAGGATGGGAGGGACTTAATTGGCTATTCGGTCCAAAGGGATCAAGCAGTCACTGATGTGGGGTGTAGAATGTTCATACCACATACTGAGAATTTACTTTCTTCTCAAGTCCCCATGCCTCCATGAAAGTATGGCATGCCATCAGCAGCTGATAATAAAACTACTGTTATGTTTTTAAATTTATTTATTATTTTATTTATTTATTTTTGGCTGCGTTGGGTCTTCGTTGCTGCACACAGGCTTTCTCTAGTTGCGGTGAGCAGGGGCTGCTCTTTGTTGCGGTGCGCGGGCTTCTCATTGCAGTGGCTTCTCTTTTTGTGGAGCGCGGGCTGCCGTAGTTGTGGCACACGGGCTCAGTAGTTGCGCGCACGGGCTTAGTTGCTCTGTGGCATGTGGGAATCTTCCTGGATCAGGGCTCGAACCCGTGTCCCCTGCAGTGGCAGGCGGATTCTTAACCACTGCGCCACCAGGGAAGCCCCCTACTGCTATTTTTAAATTTAACATCTTTGTGCTTCAGCTACTGTAGAAGTAAAAGTTTATACTCAACAGGATTCTTACGATTTCAACAACTATTGGAATTATTTAGGTTTTATGACCTTAAAGGTGCCATAATTGAGAGAGAGCGCGATGACCTGGAATCGTGCAAACACTCTTCTCTAAAGAGTGGGCTTTTTCCTTTCAATCAGGGAGGGACCCGAGGTCTTTAGTGGAGACAAGGAATAAACACATAAAGGCTGAGAACCACTCATCTGATTCCATGCGTAGCCTACAGAATGCCTGGTTTCAAGGGGCAGATGGAGGCTGCAGAACCGTTAGTCCCCAAGGTGCACAGAAGCGTGGTGTTGGGAAAGGGCCCCTCTTCGTTCGGCGTTCCCACCTCCTCCTCAGATGTACAACTGAAATCACAGTGGCAGCCGGACAGAGCTACAAGGAGGACCTGAGCACCCCTAGCAGTAACTGATCCCGTAATGTATTTGTCGGTTGTTCACCTCTCCCTGCTCCAGGAGGCAGTGAATCTGATGTTTTGCTAACCTGCCAGCTGACTGCAGGAAGGCTGGGGGCCCTGCAAGAACCAGCCACGGGAGTTCAGTACGAACAGCTGAGCTAAGAAGTGTTGTTGTTTTCAACCAAGTCAGTTTTGGGGTGAACTGATTCCTAGCAAAAGCTAACCAATATACAAACTAAAGTCTCAAGAGCGAGATGATGTGCTGAACATCACTGAGCTACACGGCGGCCGGAATGTGAAGTCGAACTAAATCTGGGCTAGTAAGTAACTGGTTGAATTAACACTCTCCAGGTTATTTATTAATGCAGTCTCCTAGGTTCACTTATTAAACAAGTCAACACTTACTGAGCATATAATACATGTTAAGTACTCTGCTGAGATACTGGGAAAACAGGAAAAATAAGGCACGGTGTCTGTCTCCAGAAGCCCCAGATTCTACTACAGGAGATATAACATGAATATATAAATAAATTACAATGTAATAAATATAATGATAGAAAGATACACAGGGTACTATGGGCTGGTAGAAGGGGAGCCCCGACCCAGGCTTCCGGTTAGAAATAATACCTACACAAAGGCTTCAAGGATAAAAGGAGTTTGCCAAACTGGGGTGGCAGGGAGAGGCAGGGGGAGGGGAGAAATGGGCAGAGAGAGCAGCAAGAGGAAAACAACAGGCAGGGCGCACCTTGGAGAGGGTGGGGACCTACCAGCACATCAGTGCTACTGGAGCGTGAAAAAACAGCGAGGAGAAAGAGAACGCTGCTGAGAATGACATCACATCCCGGATGGTCTGTGTGCCACAGTAAAGAGATTCAATTCTCTTCCCTCGACAAGGAGAAGCTAAGGAAAGGTTTTAGGAAATCAGATTTGCATGCCTGAAATATCATTCTGACATTAGGGAGGATAGGGCAGGGAGACAGAAAGCACAGCTGAGAGTACATGTAGACATGAACTATGACAGTCACAGTGGGGATGGAGGGGAAGGGGTGGAAATGAAAATTACTTAGGAAGGAGGACCTCAAGGCATCAGTGATAGATGGGCTGGTTGGGGGACTGAGAGAGCAAGAGGACACAAGATGAATCCCACTTTCCTGCAGGGTGGGTATGTCTTGGGTGTCCACCAACTCTCTCACCTCCATTTATGCTGTTGACAGATCTGGGTGTAAACCTTTACATGGATCGCTGTTCAATTAAACTGTGGGAGCTCTTCATGACTGTTCCTACTGCTAAGACCCTTCTGCATCCTGCCATGGTTATCTGATACGTTTCCATGCTGTGCACTGCAGCTACGGGTGAGCTTCGTCCAAACCCTTGGTAAGAAAGCAAGTTAGAGCAGAGCCCAAGGACACTGGCTGCAGCTGTAGGCCCAATTCTGGATACACTGAACATAACTAGATATCAATCAAAATAGTGAGGGGACAGAAGAAAAGTGCCATGAAAAAGCATTATGAAAGCAAATGGCCGGAGCTTAACTTGGAGAACAGAGGACTCAGGAGGGACTGTCATTTCCAGGTGGAAGAGGAATCCATTCTTTGTATGACTGTCTCCATGGTGATGCACTAGCACCAATGGACTTCATCACACAATCTACCAGTTGGAAAAGTTCAGTTTGATATAAGGCAGGACTGTCTAATGGTCAGAAACACCCGGAGGTGGGATGGGCTACACTGGAATAGAATAAGCATCCTGTATTAGCTTGCTAGAACTGCCATAACAAAATGCCACAAACTTGTGTGCCTTAAACAACTGGAATTTATTTTCTCTAGTTCTGAAGGTTAGGAGTCCAAAATCAAGGTGTCAGCAGGGTTGGTTTCTTCTAAGGTTTCTCCCCTTGGCTTGTAAATGGCTGTCCCTCTGTCCTCATCTTCTCTTCTTATAAAAACCTCAGTCATACTGGATTAGGGCCTACCTATATGATCTCATTTTAACTTAATTACCTCTTGAAAGGCCCTATCTCCAAATACAATCACATTCTGACGCCCTGGAGTTTGGGATTCAAACAGATAAAATTTAGGGGGACACAATTCAGTCCATAACGCAACTTGTCAACAGGGAAGTGTAAATGGAGGTATGGTGAGTGTCAGGTAGGGGAAGGCAATGAAGAAACTGAAGTAGCAAATCTGGAGTGTCCTTGAAGGTCCCTTAAGGTCTAAGAGCTACAATTCTAAACATTGCGAGAGGGCCCCTCATCACTGCTGTTAAACATTATTAACATGATAATCTCCCCGGGGTTTCAGACAATAATTACATTTTCATGGCAGCTTAAATGATTGATGAGAAATGTTGCTTTTATTTAACCCTTCCTGGAGGAAAGGCACAGGCTGACAGCTACACACGTGAGCCCGCAGAGGACAACAGTCACGCTTACCTGTGAAACAGGACAGACTTCACCAAGGTGACAACATCCCGGCTGGCGTTGTATCCGGCACAGACAATGGCAACGTGGATTGTCTGGGAAGCAAAGAAAGCAGGGGGAGCAGTTAGATGGAGGAAGAGGACTTTGCTGGCGCTCTGGACCACACGAAAAAGTGCCCTTATTTCTTGCTGGGATCATTGGGACACAAAAAGCATTGGCGGCAGCTGTGAAGAATAACTCGAGACAGTTTTATGAAGGCCTTTTTAATCGGTTTATGGAGCTATCATCATTTGGAAAACATTAAGGCTCTTTTCAATTACATTTTGGGGACGAGAGAAATGGCAATTGGCTTGAATAGGTAAACAGTGAGTCCCGTGCCCCCATGTCTGCAGACCGTGACAACTGGTAACAAGAGAAGAGAAAGTAATACACCCTGAAAGGATGAACTGACAATCGGGGATCTCAGACAGAGACGTGGTGGCTCAGAGTTTGGGAAACGTTCTCACAAGATGTCTCAGGTCAGGGGTAACCTGATAACAGAGCAAAGGGACCAACAAACACCTATGGGCCCCAGCTGGGATGCCATTCAAGGAACTGAAGACTGGCAGAATCAATGGGACGAGGATGGGTCATCTCATGCAAGCACTCGAGAGCACGGGCCCCAGTCTGTCCATTAACCAATCGCTGTAACACGAGGGGCATGACACGTGTCCTGCAGGATGTCACGGAAGGGAACTATGCCACGTGCAGAAATACAGCACACTGCAGTCCACTCATGACAAAAACGTCCTCAAGAGCTAAGCTTCCCAAACGGGGTGACTTGGCACCCTGGTGTGCCGTGAAGTGAATGACAGGCGATGAAGACACTCATCTCTTCAAGTGAGATCTCCAGGCTCCCAGGCAGGTCTACCCCTCAGGCTTGGCTGCCCTCTGCTGCCAGCAATTTTTCCTGTTCACCTCCTTGTACTATACAATTATCACCCTCTGTGGGAGCCACACTTGACAAAGATTGGAAAGTACTGCCCTAGGGCATCCCCTTTAGGAAGTTGCCCAGCCTCTCTCAGAACAGCTGGAAGGAACGGGGCGTTCCTGCCTCTCCATGTTGTCCTTTGACCAACGCACAGCCTCCCTCGAATTGAAACCTGCCTACTAACACCCACTCCAGCCCTGCTCTGTCCTGGGAGTACTGCAGAACCAACATGTTCCCCAGGGCACCCAATACTGAAATTCCAGGGAGAGGTCTTGATAGGTGCCTCTTTGTTTTCAGAACCACACACATGGCCCTTCCTCCCAGGGCTCCCAGCAGGCTCCCAGACTCCCTGCTATCCTCATGAGCCACTTCCAACTGCAGTGCAGTTCTGACGTCCTGGTCACTGCCACACGGGCTTCCCCAGACCTACCTTCAGCACCGTGCCTCCTGACATCACCAAGGGAAGTTTAACCACCTCAAGGATAAACCAGCCAAGAGCCTGGAATGCACTTCTAAGACCGCTTCACCTCCAGTGAGCTTCACTGCACCTTGGCCACCCACTCTCAATGCCAGGAGCTGAACCTCAGCGTCACCCAGATCCTCATTGCAAGAAATCCTGAAATCACGGGTTCACCCGCAGCTGTGGGATTCTCAGAGCCTCTCACTCCTGCACCTGCCCCTCTCCCCGTCCTGAAGAACCCCATTCCGCCCTGTGTACCAGGCCCTACCCTGTCTGACCCATCTTCTGTGCCCTTGGCTCCCTGACATGTTCAACCCCACACTCAATACACAAACCCCGACTCCTGGATCAGGGCTACAGGGTCCCTCCTCCAGACTTATACCTGGGGATCAAGAAGGAGGACAAGGGAAGATAAAAGAGACGAATAATCACCACACTAAGAGCTAATATTTACTGAGCAAATTATTACATTCCAGGTACTGTACTTAGCACACAGATTGCCAGATTTAGTTGTACAAGGCAAGTACAGTGTTACTATTTCAGTATTATAGATCAAGAAACAGGCTGAGAGATGGGATTTGAATTCTGCAAAAGAGATTCTTCACCCTGCTGGTGGTACATCAGCAACACACAAAAGATTTAAAAAATACACCCTGAGCCCCGGCCCCATCTCAGACCAATTAACAATCTCCTATGCCCAAGATCTTAAAATACCCTGCTGGGAGGCGGTAGTTCTCAACAGGGGCTAATTTACTCCCCTCTGCCTCCCCCAGAACGGGCGTCCATGTCTGGACTCATTTTTGGTTGTCACTCCTGGGGGTGTGCAGGGCTACTGGCATCCGGTGGGTGGCGGCCAGGGATGCCGTTCAACACCCTACAATGCACAGGAGGCCACCGAGACAATGATGCTGTGCAAAAGGTCCAGGTTCTCTGGATGGGGAGGGGGTGGGAGAGGCTAAGATCTCACGGGGCACCAAAGCCACCTTTCTCAAACTCATTTCTGCACGTCTCAACTTCTCCACCTGTAAAATGATGACAGCCCCGCTTATCTCCGGATAATATCTCCAAAAGACTCGGAATCAAAGCCTGTAATGTGGATGCAACTGTCACAGTTTAAATCATGAAGGAAACGGATAGGGAAACGCCTGCACAGAGGAGACGTAACCAGGGCGGGGATGAGAATGGTAAAAGCATGCTGAATCAGGCTCTTTGGAATTGCAAATATTTAAACACCTGGCCTCCGCGAGATGTCAAACTCTGTCTTGGCTTCAGGGTTCAGGGACGTTTTCAAATGGGCCCATTAAATGTAAGCACGAGCGTGCACATTCTCAAACATTTTACATAATTTTCCAATCTCTTTAGTTTCATCCAGTACACCTGCCACCATGAATAAATTCATCCTCTGGAGCCGCTGCGGCAGAGCGCTGCTACCCAGGAAAGCAGAAAATTGGAGTGTCACGAACACGTGCCTGGAAGAGTTCGGGGTGGTCCCAAATTTTGTGGGTGCAGAAGCGTATGGCAGGAGTGAGGCAGGGCTTGGGGTAGGAGCGGAGACAGTCCGGGAACAGGGATGAAGGTTCCTTGGAAGAGCAGGGGTGCACACATGGTCCTACCATGAGAACTTTCTGGTCTGAAGCTACGAAGTCCAGGTTTTCATGTTTCTCAATGTGGTGGCTTAAAGATGGTCACAGATACGTGGACATTCCGACTCCCAAAGGGAAGGGTCTAAACATCAGATTCTGTGACCACTGGTCCACTTCTGCCCTATACTTGGTAGGTGTCATACTTGCCTTTATTGGTCAAAGTCTGCAAGTAGCGTGACGATGCTCTTCTTTGCTCCTCTAGGCTCACTCTCTGCGCTTCTCCAACTGGCTCTGTGCCCCAAGAGCCTGATTTGTTTAGACCGAATTAACTGGGTTCCTCCTGCTTCTGGTTCCTGGTTGAGTTTGGTCAATGGGAGACCCTAGCGGGAGTCCAAAGGCCCCCCTCTTTATGTCCACTTCTTGCTGGCTTCCACAGGGCCTCCTGCCTGCACCTCTCGGGCCCAGGGGTCGTAGTGACTCCCTCGTGGGAGCTGTACCACCCTCGCTGGTTCCCCTTAACCCTGCATTAAACCCTCTCCACCTCCTTTGTGAGCGTCCCCCTGTTTCCTGCCAAGATCAGACCAAATTCCAGTGATCCTCCCTCAGCACCCCATTTGTCCTGGTGGCTGGAAGGGAACCACAGATGATTTTGGAGCGTCCACAGATATATCACCAATATATCTAAAATAAAACAAGGCAGGAGAGCAACTTGAGAATGGATAAATTGTAGTTAGAAATTTTAAGGCACTCTGGAATTCCCTGGCAGTCCAGCGGTTAGGACTCAGTGTTTTCACTGCCGGGGCCGGGGTTTGATCCCTGGTCAGGGAACTAAGATCCCACAAGCCGTGTGGCATGGCCCAAAAAAAAAATTTACTTAAAATTTTACGGCTCTATACAAAATTCTCAGACACAGGGACCACAAGGCTCTTTCTAAGGAAGCCAGTAAAGCTTCCTGCTCACTTACAGTGCTGCAACCTGCACCCAAAGATACAGGTTAGAGTGCCAGAGCTAGGCTCTCATTCCTGATGCCACTGGGGTCAAGTGAGTGACCTTTACTTTTAGGGCCTGCAGGAAGAATTCAGACATGAGCAGAGTGTTTTTGGAGACTGATGTGCCAGGCACTGTGCTGGTCTCAAAGGATCAAAACGTCAATCAGCGGGCTTCCCTGGTGGCGCGGTGATTGAGAGTCCGCCTGCCGATGCAGGGGACACGGGTTCGTGCCCCGGTCCGGGAGGATCCCACGTGCCGCAGAGCGGCTGGGCCCGTGGGCCATGGCCGCTGAGCCTGCGCGTCCGGAGCCTGTGCTCCGCAACGGGAGGGGCCACAACAGTGAGAGGCCCGCGTACCGCAAAAAAAAAAAAAAAAA